TGGCAATTTGCGGATGTCAAGGAGAAGGCAGCAACTGGCAGAAGTGGCAAGCAAAGATACGGTCTACGAAATCGGGCGAAGCAAATATTTTTCTTGCTGGATATGTAGTGAGATGCCTTGAAGAGTAAATAGATTTTGTTAMTATTTATTATTAAATTTTGCTTATTTGTTATAACATACATATGTGTATGGGTGTAGGATTATATGTAAGTATTGAGGSCTTGCTAGGAATTCCATTTCAGTTGTTCGTATTCCCGAGAAACATGATTAGATACTACTCATTTATTTTCTTTACTGAGCTTTGTATAGTACCGAGATACATATACATATACATATGTATGTATATAATAGTGCATATATTTGTATACATATCTACATGAGATGAATATTTCTAAATGATTTTAATTTAGAGATTTCGGCACAATTTACTTTCGTTTACAGAGCTTTCTACTTTAAYACGAGAACGGTTTAATAGGTGAGTGATTTTGCTCTGCCATTGCTCTCAAACATTTTAAATGCAGTATTGCTGACTTTGAAATTTTAGTATATTTTCTCAAGAATAATTAGGAAATTGATAAGACAATGCCTTTACAGTACTGTAAATACATTATTCTAAGTTATATGTAAGGATATACTAGTCGAGGTCGCAGATAATCTCATGAAAAAATATTTCTCGAATTCCAATTAATAACAACTTTTGAGAATCACTTTTCTTCTGTTATAAACTTAAAACAAAACGACAAAAATCGCAGTTCTAACAAACCACTCTGAAAGTATAAAAAAAATCCGATTGCATAAACCGCCWTTAAATGAGTAATTGAAAAAATGAGCAATTTTTTGCATTCTAATCCGCGGCTTTTGTATATTTTAATTAAAATATTTCGTCAGAAGCACGTTTGTGCGCTCTCATTTTGTTTTCGTTGCGGACTTTAACTTTCGATCTCGATGCCGTGACGCGTGCACGCACACATACGCACATATAACTGATTTTATGCTTTTAACAGCGCGTTTTTGCGGTTTTCTCTTTTGCTGAACATACATACGGGCATACATGCATRCATATGTATRGAATATATACAAACGTACACGCATGCAAATCCACCAAAATATGTTAATTGTACGAAATTCAACCGCTGAAGCTAGAAACAAAGCTTAAATGAATACAAACGCGTGATTTTGAGCGAATTGATAATTCGTCAGCGGCGTTTTTACAACTTGATTTTGCTTTTTACTTATTACTATAAGTAATTTTTGTTGCTTTTTTATAATTTTTCGTCTTTTATGCTTGTGTAAGTTTGTATATGCACGCATATATTTCGATTTTATTGTTGCGGCAATAAAATTAGTGTGTTTAAATGTGCGCATGCGTAGAGATTTTTATCACTACGCGAGGGATTCGTCGAAGCACGCCAATGCACAGCCGTTGTTTAGCGTGTTTTTGCAGAGAAGACAAATACGCGCGGCGTATTTAAGCTTCTGTTCTTGTAGATTTGTTGATTTCACGAACGCTGATGGCCCTGTGCGAAACACACCAGCGTTAAGTCATGTCGATTAAGAATGTCAGCTTCGCCAGCAAGGAAGCAACTTTTAGCTWACAAGTACAAAATTCAGCACCCAAACACAGAGTATGTGCTTGATTTTATCATTTCATCGCCTAAAACCCTCACCTCAACATATGCCTAGTCAAATTTATCTTATATAATTATCAAATAAGACAAGTGACCTTGAAAAGTCCAAACAATGCTGCTGTTCGCTCCAATTTGTGAGACGCGTCGTTGTTATTGCTTTCTAACTAATTGAATATTTTTCAAGCCAGTGTCAACACAAAATAAATACAAACACTTAGTCATACACACATTAGTTTACACAAAAATATATATATGTGTATAAAGGGTGTTCCAATATTAAAGCAAGTTTTAAATCTGAAGCCATTTATGTAGTAAAATGTTGATAACCATAAAAAACTAATCGACAGCTGACAGTTTAGGTTTAGTAAAAGTGGAATTCTACACGATAGAACAACRTGTCTTCATTATTGAACAATATTTGAAAAATAATGAAAGCTCGCAGTTCGAAAATTTCATACAAAATGTGTTCCGACTAGTGCTTCAGTTTCGTCAACTTCGAAGATTAATTGAAATGGCGGCAAATTAGAATCTTGCGTTAATTTTGAGACACCCTGTACGTATAATATACACTCTATCTGTACCGTCAATCATTCAGAGAAGAGGCAATTAAGCTTAGAATTGGACCTTTGCATGAAATTGGCTAGCACACACACACTTAAACAAATGCCATTTAAATAATACATGAAACTGTAGATTTTATACTTATTCGACCTCTATTCAGCAYTCTATCCGTACGCAGACATRYCGATATAMRGGGTTTTCCAATAGGTATTGTATTCAGTAATGCTTCCAAATTCATCATGGATTGCGTATATAGCAAGAGCAATTTTTACMAATTATCCAATTTTATTATCAAAATAATCGTTCTTTAATTGCAACTTTTCATGCGTTTTTGCCGTTTTATGGAATTTTCACTTTCATCTGAGTGCTGCGGTAAATAAACAAAACCGTCGATTCTGATGCAAAGAAAATCCACAAATTATTCATGAACAACCATTGCATTCACCTACATTGACAGTTTGGTGTGGAAAAATTGTGACATTGCATGGACTCCAAGAAGTTGYGATTTAACGCCAATGAGCGACTTYTTGTAGKGTTATTTGAAGTCATTTGTCTTTAGCAATAAACCAGRCTGTTTCCAAGTTTTAAAAGTCAATATTAAACGTGCTATTCATGGAAAACGGCTTGAATTAGTGGAAAAAGTACTCGAAAATTGGGTCATCAAATTCGTTTCTGCAAACGAAGTCGWTAAGGCCATTTGAATGATGTTATATTCAGAAGGTAATTGTATCGATTGTACTATATTTCACATTAAATAAAAAACATTTAAATTACAATTAGTGTATTTTTTTCAAGAAATCATATCACACTTATTGGAAAACTCTCTATACGATGTTATGTAATTAAGGTAAATGAATGAACTTTGAAGCAACGCCATTCACTTCTTAATCTATTTATAGAGAAGTAAAAAAAATTATTTAGAGATCAAAAAACTACAAGCGAGCATACTCCAGTACTTATGTAATTAATTCCATGTATGATCACGTAAATAATTCCAAACTGAATCATACAAGGGAAGTAGTTTTAGGGAAGAAAAAATTTTATATTTGTTCAGTTATCTAAAGACTTTACTGATATTTTAATCTGAAACGCCCAATAAAAAATGACATCTGAGGCAAAAAGACAGCGTTGCTGGAACCCCCATGTGCAAAAATCCTCAAATTGAGATTTACTTTAATGTGCTTTACGAAACATTACTTGCAGAACCCTCTGCAATGATTACATAGTATATTTAAGCTCTGCATTTTCATTCAACATTTTTAGGAGGAACGACAGACACAGGGTTGACATTTCCACATTTCCACATTTAGAGTGTCAGCCAGTCCAGGAACTCGCCAACCGACCCAACGTCGTAAGCGCCACAGTCAGCCTCAACACCAGCCAAGCAAAGCAAGTCGAAAATAGCAACAATTTTATTAAGGAACAGCAAGTCGTATAAATGCTGGGAGGTCGGGTGAAGAATGATTTGCTTTAAGTGATACCAATTTGCATATTAAAATCGCGTCGAAGCGAGCGAATATAAATAAAAACAGAGCATAAAGAGTAGTAGCCGTAGCAGAGGGAAATGGTAGAATGGTATAAAATGGCAGAAGGTGCTTACTAGTGAGAGGAAAGCGCGCGAAGAGCTCCAACAAGGCGGTGGCAAGCAGTAAAATGACGAGTAACAGAAAGTGGTGGAAAAAGCAAAATGAAACGTAGAGCAGTGAACCGTGCTCAACACATGCCACATGCCGCACGCCACATGGCACTTGCTACTTGCTACTTGCCACAAGCCTTCACATGGCACACTCAAAGTAAGGTGGTTTTACGACTAGAATGTTTCGTGACATTTTCGGTGCTCTCAACGACGTTAGCCGCTGAGTTCGCACAGAAGCTTAACTTAGAGCGCGCATGTTTGGAAATTCGCACTGCTAAAATCGCTGGACCATGTAGTTAATTGTAGTTGAAATAAATGTAATGTTGATTTTTCCCCTATGGACCTATAAAATTTATGTAACAGCACCTCTGCTCCTTAGGCGGCAATTTACTTTTCTAAAGCTGTCGAACTTGCAATACCAGAACAGAACCATACACAGTTTTGTTTATGTCATCAAGACGACAAATCGGGGCTAGATAACCAGTTGTGGAACCGAAATTCCATATATTTGGCTCCAACTCATTTCGAAGACAATATTGCTTTATGAGAAATCTATTTAAAGTATAAACGAGGATTCGAGTTTTTTCTCTGGACAAGCTGGATTATAGATAATTTCTTGAATTTAAGATATAAGAATTTAGCTTCCGGAAAATAAAGAAGTTGTTGAATTGGTATTTGAAGAAAAGGGTCAAAATAAAACATTGCTGGTTTACAGAACTCAATTAAAAATATTAAGCTTATTAGAAGCGCAAATAAATATTTCAATATGAAGAATGTAAGATTCAATGAAATTGTTGAAATTGGAGGTTATGTGGAATGTGTACAAGTTTTAAATTCAAGCAAAGGTTAAGATTCCAGATGATGGTTATATACTCTTACACACAAGTTTACGTACAAGCACAAACATGCACATACTTCGTAGGTGGCTGGCACAATTGTAGCCAAGTGAGTTTGACATACACATGTACACGTCAAAACTTTGCGCTGAACAAAAGGTGAAAGAAAAAAGTGCAAAGCTGCAAATTTATTATGAATAAAGCTTAAATACTGAATAATTGAAAGAGTTGTCAAAAAGAAGTGTGCGTATGACTGTATGAAAGTACGAAGGTGCAAAAAGATGAAAGAATGTGTAATTATATAAGTACGTAAGTAGGTAAGTAAGCCGCTGTGCTTACCTTAGATTTGGAACCGCTGCTGCAGCGGCGGCCGCCTGTAACGGTGGTGGCACATTGTACGGGAATGGTAGTTTGGCGGCTAATGCGGGATTCTCGAAAAGCATCTTGACTGATTTGGCTGCTTACTGCTGCTGCTGTTAATTGAATGCTGTTGAATGAATAAAAACACTAAAGCGCAATATGATGCGATTATTTTATAATTATTTTTGCTTGACCCAGTGGATAATTTAATTTTATTATATTTATGAAATTTTTCTTCACTTAATTTGCACTGGGCGCGATTATTAAAATTTTCCTTCACTTAGCTCCACTTAATTACAATTTTTTTATGACTCAAACACTTTTTGTTGCTTTTTGCTATATATTTTTCTTATATATTTTAAATTTTTTTTTTTATTGGTAACTTAAGCTTAGTAGTAACTTAAGCACTTTCATTAAGTACTTGAGTTGGAAAAATGCTTTAGAATTTCATGCGTGAAAAAATTCTGTTTTATTTTGATTTAATGATTTTAAATACTTTTTTTCTTATTATTCTTCTTATTATTATATGAAAGTTGGGTTTTTTGAGTAAACCAAATAAATGTGTTACAAATTTGTTGTTTTTCACTTTATTTATTAACTGTTTTGTTGCTTACAGTTACACAAGTGAACTCGCTTGCTATTTTGTTCTTGAAAATTTTCCGATTTTACAGATATCAATTCGTATTTTTTTTGACATTCATTTAATTTGTATCTTCAGATAATTATTGCTAGCCCAGCTAGGATATTTCTTAAGTTTTACTTTTATTTTACTTTAAAAAATCTTTGCTTTTAAAAATTTTTGAAACTTCCATGGATTTTAATATATTTTATAAATATACTGATTTTACTATTATATATTTTTGTTTATGGAGCTGTCATAAATTCACTGTTCCCAATTTATAATATATGCAGACAATATTTGTTGTTGTTCCAGTAATTTAAATTATATATTTAATTTTAACAGTAGTTTTTTGAAATTATTTATTTTTTTTTATTATTAGTTGATGTGTTTTCACTGGATTTAATTGAAAATATTATTTTTTTATTTGTTATTTCACTTAACTTTGATTAATTTTTTTGTGGTTTGTAACACTTTAGTTGTTATTTATGGGTTATAATTTTTTTATATTTTTGTATATTCAAATTCCTTCTTYACTCTTCACTCATTTGTATATTTTTCACACACAGTTCGGAAATATTTTGCACAATGTTCTGTAATTTGTTGCTTATAGACTGGAAACTTTACTGCATTGGTGCTGGTGCTGGGGTGTGCTGGAATGAAGTAGAAAAGAATAATTTTATAATATAGCACATTAAAAGAAACTTTTTGTAATAAAAGTAGAAAACACAATAACAAATAAAATTTTAATATAAATAAATTGTGAAAAAATTAAGGAAATACCACTCTTTAAAATGTATGTACATATGTATGTATAGACAAAATATTTTTTATTTTTTTATTTTTATTTTTATTAAAGACAAAATATATAGTTTTGTTCTTGAATAAAAGCTGTCTCTTATACACATCTAGATGTGTATAAGAGACAGAGATAAATATTATAGGCATCTTTAAGTTTTAAAGAGTTTCCACTATTTTATTACAGCTTTTTTCAATTTACAGAATTAGTTAACGGTAGGGTATTTTTCAGATAAATAGTACTTTTCAATCTTGAAAGTAGATCTTAGAAATGTTCCCTATCATGAACTACGAAANTCATTAAAAAATATTTATATTAAATTAAATAAAAAATGTCAATATGCGATTTCCTCTCCTTTTAAACAACATTGATTCCTTACTATTTTTCTTAGTATTTATATAAATGCACCTGCGAAATTATAACAAACTTAGCTAATTGCCTCGAGCACAATGCTGGGCGTGAAGGCGGCTGTGGAGCGCCACGGGAAACGCTCATGAACGGTATGTCGCCAGCTGACTTGTTTGCTAATTACGTTTTAATTAAAAATCTTTGTTTTTCACTTAGCAATAGGAACAATAAAACACACTCCAAAAAGAAGAGCGATTGCGGCAACAACAAAAACTACTTGAAATTTCCAACTAATCAACCAAAACATTTGCGTTCATGATAAAAGAAATTAAAGTCGTCAACAGCGCTGTGTGCCAACGACGCGACGCCGTAAAACGTGAAATCAAAACTGCCCGCCTGTTTTCTCACACACATTTAATTGCCTCAGGAGGGCGTACGGGGCGTGTAGGTGCGAAGAAAACGAGAAGGTGGCGCTGGCACACAGCCGCACACTTGAAGTCACTCATTTTCTACCTCTTTTTGTTTTTACTCACCAACCCTTTGCCATTTTCATTTGTATTAATATTACCTTTTTAGTGCTTTAATATTACGCTTTTGTAGCTTTTTTTGCCACTTTTGCGGACACTCTTTTATGGTACTTCATTAAGAATTTAGGGTGACCTTTRCCGTCTGCATGGCAACAATTACGGATAGCTCTTGATTTTTAGGTTATGATTTTTCATGTTTGTTATGCCATTAGGCTGAAATTAACTTTCGGCTGTTGGGCTGTTGTTTACGAATGGCACGAGAATCAGAGAAGCTATATGACTAAAAAAATTAGTTTCATCTGTCATTCAAAATTTAGACCTTCACAGTTGCTCGCAACAAATCGCTCATCTCGCAAAATACAAAAATGCACAAAGCGTCAGAAATRTGTTAGCATTACTTCCTTAAGTTGGAAGAAGAACAATCAATGTACGATGTCTTTGGATCCATTTGATTTTCTGCTGTTGCACTTTGTTTGGGATSGTAAAAGCTGAGGCATGTTTCAAAAATTTTGTGGAAATGAAGAGATTCGAATCCCCATAAATTAGGGTTTTATTTCAAATTTTCAATTGAAGTCAAAGAACAACTCATTTTTTTTACCTACTTTTACAGATTTCACAATTCTTCCAATGCTGAGTGTAGGCCATTTTTAAGACTATTGTTGACTTCCAAAACACATTTGTGTAGCTAAATTCTCTTTAAATAGTCTATACCTGTAGAGCTTAGGAAAATATTCTGTAGAAGTTGAAGCTTATTTGCCATTAAATAAATGAAACGGAAGGAGGTTGAAAACTTTGTTGAGGCAAAATATTATACTATATGCTTACTCATACCTATGTGCACACAGTAGATACATACGTACATATATGTATGAATACGGATACATCAATTTATACACTTATATAAAACTAGAACGACGAAAAGACAAACTTTTATAGCAAAAACGCGGCAGAGTAATCAAAAATTTATACTCACGGATGTACGGGCGGGTATAAATGCATACGTATCCTTGGGTATTAAAGTGAGTACATGCAATAATACGTAATGAGTAACAGTACAATGAAGTCACCAGTAGCGGCATGGAAGCCATATTTAAAACAAAAAAGATAGGCTTGGAGATGACTCAAATCAAGTGAGAAAATAAATTCTACAGTATTTTTTTAATTAATTGCAAAGTGCTTCTGTCATTTAAGCAACGCTGGATTTATTTTACAATTATTTTAATATTTACTCAATAAAAAATGAAAAAAGTTTAACTTCTGTTGCTCTGATGCTWTAACACCCTTCACAAATCCTAAAGTTTACTTACAAGAACTTTCATCAGTTTGTCTGGAAGCAATACTACTTATAAGAGGGATTCGATACCTACAAAAATTAGGGATATATAGAAACATGGCTAAATTGACCTAGCTCATCACGCTGATCATTTATATCCATTCTATATGGGGTATCTTACTTTTCCCTCTGGATGTTATTAACGCCGCGGCTTAATATACCCTATTCAGGGTATAAATATTATAGGCATCTTTAAGTTTTAAAGAGTTTCCACTATTTTATTACAGCTTTTTTCAATTTACAGAATTAGTTAACGGTAGGGTATTTTTCAGATAAATAGTACTTTTCAATCTTGAAAGTAGATCTTAGAAATGTTCCCTATCATGAACTACGAAAGAATATCTAATAAGCATTTTCAATGAAAAAAGTCATGAAATCTGCTTTATTTGTGTTGCGTTGTCGTTACTAGTACTTTTTAAGCACTACTGAACGAGGTATGTTCAAAAAGGTTACGTATATTCGAATTTCGAATTTTTTGTGGCGTTATGTTAGTACTCATGTCTCTCAYTTAATKGTWGACAGCTGCTTTGCTTGCACGTGTTTTGGATCGTCTTCGATTTTTACCTATTCAAAAAAATGGATCAAAGAACCTGTATCAAATTTTGTGTGAAAAACGAAATTGGGTGCGGATGCATTCCGAATGTTGACTGTGGCATACGGAGAAGCTACCTTGGACCGAAGCAACGTTTATCGGTGGTACAAAATGTTCTCAGAAGGCCGAGAAGATGTGACAAAAATTGGCTTATGCACTACGATAATGCATCGAAAGAGGAGCTGAAGAAGATAWAAAAAAAAAACATTTTTTAAAGTGCTTCGAAGATTGGAAAAACCGTTGGCACAACTATATAATATCTCATGGGGATTACTTTGAAGGGGACAAAATAGATATTCATGAATAAATAAATAATTTTTGAAAAAACACAAAATTCGCGATACTTTTTGAACACACCTCGTATGCRTGCATATAATATAATACTATAAGCCGCTAAGGTGAAACTTCCTGAGGAGCGGCTGCTAAAAAGGATATAAAGGCTGCTTACACACATACATATGTACATATGCATTTGGATAGTCAATAACAATCGAAGTCGTAACCTTCTACCACGGCATCACGCACCAGCCTAACTGCCTGCGAGGTCGCCGATATACAATATACACATATTTACAATTCTACATACATGTACATATTTGCATTGTTTATTTTTGCATTAACCTTAGCATGCGCCTTTTATAATTTTTATCTCTGCTTATATTATATAAATCACTTTGTTTGATCAATAATGAAAAGAAACTTGCACCACATAACTCAGCTACCGGCTRTTATAGTTATTGCTTTTGTTATTTTTATTGTTCTTAGTCACAAATTATTAATATTTTTTATTGGCAACTTCAACCTCTAATTTGCGTGGCATGCAGCGGTTTGCTGACAGTTGCCACCGTCACTTGCTCCATGCAAATAAACACAACTTTCAAACACACAGACACATACATACACAAACAAAMGGACATAAAAACTGCCAAACAGTAACTGCCAGCTGCGCCAAGCACACTTTTTCTGGTGTTATTACGATTTTTTTGTTTTTGTAATTGAATGTACGCGCGCAGCGTACAATAGGCAAGCAAATTAATCACTCGTTAGCAAACGCTCGAACTGGTACAACCGCCCGCATGAGGCGACTTTTGTCAACTAAATTCGGAATTCGTTCGAGTCGTGCGGCGACCGCGATGGAGGTAGCCACACTTTGGAGCATATTCAGCGCCAAAACCCCTAAAACCAAATTTAAACAAAAACAACTGAAACTGAAACAACAACAACAACAACAACAACAAGAGCAAAAGTTGTACAAACGCCGTAGTAGCAATGTGTTGCCACGAACGTCCGATGACGCATAATCGGCAGCATTGCTTCGCCTACATTTGTTGTTCTTGTTTTTGCTGCTGTTGCGGTGGTGGTATTAGTGGTGGTAATGATGGCGTTTAAGCTGGTTGTGGAGTTGGAGTGTTGGAGCGCGCTCGAGTCTGCCATGTGACACTAGTAGGCCGTTGACGTAGACAGCAGCAGAAATTTCCACCCGCTCATTGTTGCCAGAAATAGTGGTCGTTGCTATTGTTGTGCCTTTCAAATTTTTGTTACGATTATAGCCAGTTGTTTGTGTGTATGTGTTATGCATTTGATTCTTTTCGAAATTTCTATACAATTACACTCTC